CCTGCAGGGCCCGAGGCGTTCCCCTCCCCTAAGTGCGTGGCCACAGGTCCCTGTGAGTGAGGGGCAAGCGCAACCCAGCACAAGACAGGGAGCACACAGAAGTCCATCAGACAGCTCCTGCCCTCAGAAAGAAAGCAGTCAGCCCCTTCCTTCTCCCCAGTCACCAGGAGGTGGAGAGACATGGGCAAGTGGGGCTTAGGCCACTCACAGGGGGCCGGAGGGAGTCCTCCCAGAGCAAAGTCTTGGCTCTGCACTCCCCCTGCTCCACATCCTTAGGAAGGAGGAACCGTTTTACTGGTTGTTTCCTTCCCCTTTTATCCATGCAAAAGCTGAGACCCAGAGAGGTTAGGTAACTTGCCCAAGGTCACACAGCAAAGACGAGGCAGAGCGACTCTCTGAACCTGGCCGATGTGGAGCCTCGAAAGTGCTATTTCATAAGCCTGGGTCCCAGAGCGGCCAAGCTAGAGCTGAACCCCACTCTGCCTCGCTCTCCTGCCATGCAACCAAGGGCAGATGACTTCATGTCCCTAAGCCTCACTCCCTTCATCTGAGAATTCCTAACCCCAGGCGGCTCGTGAGGTGCTGTGAGAAACCCTCATTCACACAACGAGTTCGCAGTATCTGGCGGGAGCTCTCGGTGAGGCTGCCAGCCTGACATGGCTGCACCCTGGTTCCCACACCAAGAATGTCTCTGCTCCAGGATGCAATCAGGCCCAGCTGAGGGCAGAAAGTCTCCTCCCTGACCCACCCTCCTCCTTCTGGGGGCCCACTGCGCCCTCACAGTTGCCAGGGCAGTGAAAAGGCAACGCTGTGGCCCTGACATGCTACTCAGAGCTTGCTGGGCCCTGGAAGTGCCAACCACAGGAAATTTTAAAAATCCACCTCCTTGCCTCAGAGCAGGGGACACTCCTGGGCTGCAGGAAGGCTGGCAGGGTGCCCCTCTCCCCTTCCACGCGGGGAAAGGGCTGTATCCACCAGCCCTGTGCCTCCTACAGAACTCCCACCTCTAGCTTGGAAACCCTTTCAGACCAGAACATTCCAGGACGATCAGGGCCTGAAGGCACCAGATCAGATGCCCTCAACCACAGACAGCCCCCAGGCTCCCACCAGCCTCTGACCCCAACTACAGGGATCCTATCATGGAGATCCAGCAAGATCACCAGATCTCTCATTAAGGACCCCTAGCATGTCTCTGGAGACTCAGTGCCCCCATCAGTATTCCTTCTGATTCATTTCAGTATTTCTCGAAAAGTCTCCCTGGTGAGATGGAAAGAATACAAGATCCTGATTTCAGAGACTTGAAGCTTAGCGGTGGCCTTAAACAAACCGCTTCTCCACTCTGGGCCTCAGTTTCTCCATCTGGGAGATGGGAATATCATCCTCACCTTCTTCAGTCTCCCTTGTCGCACGGTAGCAAAAATGAAACAAACTTCCCGAGGCAAGAGCCACCTGGAAATTCTTACAAGCAAAACTTGCTCAACAAAGGCAGGTCACTTCTCCCCAGCCTTCGTTTCCCCCTCTGTCAGACAGGAGGCCGCTCCCTGCCTCTCAACACTTCACATCATGGAAAGGAGAGCATTGAAGGAACTCCTGTTAATCTGGTACACTCCCTCTCTAGACCAGGGGTTCCATGAGGCCAGGAAGCGATTAGCCTTGTTCCAGGGCCAGCAAGAACCAGGCCTGCAGCCAACACGTGAGGAAGGAATACCTGACTGGTCAGACGAATGGATGCATGAGGCTGCTTCTTGAGAAATTAAAAGTGCAACCCAGTAGGACTGCTTTCCATTCCCGCGAAGTCCCAGAGGACTCTGGCTCTGGCTTCGCCATCCCAGCGGACTGGAAGGAAGCTTCTGACGACCTCACTGAGGAGGCCAGGTGTCGGGGTGGTCAGACCAAGGCCTGGAAGGGCGCTCCCCGGCTTGAACAGGCGTGGGGAGGGAGGAAGCAGCTCTGTGGGAGGCAGGAGGGGGCTCCGGCCTCCCGGGCCGAGCCGAGCCTGGCGGCAGGAACAATGTCAGGCAGGTGCCGGCGAGCCGCGTGAAAGGCCAGGCCCGGTGTCATTGTCAGCGCTCAGCCAAGTGCAGAAAAGCAATTTACTGGTCACGCCGCTTGCTCCCCTTGGAAATTTTTAAAATTCTTCCGATTTGAGCTATCCACGGTGTCCCAAGTCGTGTGGAGAAAGGACTTTATTAAATTCCCAGCTTCTCGCTCCCGGGGTTGCCGGTGGGGGAGGGCGGGGCTCACCACATTGGGCTGGGGGCAGTGTCTGGCATTGACTGTGCTCAAGGAAATGTGGCTGGGGGCAGGGGGCCCGCTGGGGGCTTGGTGGCTAATAGATGGGAAGAGGGAGGAGCCCAGAAACTCCACTGCTAGGACTGGACCAGTTCTCCAAAACACTAGGCCTGGGGAGGGAATGGTGTTAGGTATATAGGGCTTCCAACAGAGACATGTGCCCTCCTGGGTGATGAGAATTCACAAAACCTCTTCCACACCTTATCATATGCCATTTCATCCTCAGGGCCACCCACGATGAAACTAAGTCTCACAAAGGTCCATGCATAGGGAAAGATGGACCTGGGGCTCAGGCCCGTCCCCAGGACGGCAGAGTCCTGAGCCTTCCCACCGTGCGGGGAGCCTCACTGGGTCCTGCTCACCAAGGGTATTCTCGCAGCCACCCTCCAAATGCCCACTGTCCAGGAAATAGCTGCTCTCTTGGTGGTGGCCCAACACTGCAGTGGAGAACAGACTCCAGACTCCTGTGGGGGCCCAGCCCTCATCTCCACCTCTAAGAGCACTCCACCTTAGCCCCAGAGCATATAGGAGGACTTGCACCTGCCAACCTCGTCTGTAACTCCCTAGGGTAGTGCTGCTTTATCTTTCAGCCATCACGGGTACTTCCAAAAATCTGTGGGGAGGTGAGAACACTCTCACAGACACTGCATATTTGGGCACCATGTTGAAGACTTTCAAACCCCTTCCCCATAATCCCATCCTTAGACATCCCAAGGGTACACGGACCATGAGTTAAAAACATTAGTCAGACCTAAGGCAGTTTAGAAGGGGAAAGACTGCAAAGGGGAGAGGTGGGGGCACCGAGGGGAGGGGAGGGGAGGGAGGCTCCCTCACCTGCTTGAAGACCTCACCCAGACAGACCACCTCAGCTTCTTCCCCCCAAAGGCTGGCTCTAGCTCTAGCCAGGACGTGAAGGTGGGATGCAGAGTCCAGCTTCCCTCCCTTACATTCTCCCAGCGAACACGAAGATCACAGAGCATCCCCTCCTGGACCCCACTTCAAGGACCAAGAGGCAGCAGACAACAGGAGGCTTGGGCAACAAGGTCTGAAACCATCTCTCTCTACTTCAGGCCCATGTCATCGTCCCCACCCCCAGGCTCAGGGCACTGGGGAAGAGCTCCCACCCAGGTCAGACAAGCAGCTCCCTGCAGTGGCCCTGGGGCTCACCCTCTGCCTGGGGACTCAGCTGCAAACCAGGCAGACCATGCCAGGCACTGGCCTCTCTCTCTGACACCAGCCATTCCCCACCCCGCCCCCGCCACCACACAGGGTCACATCTGCTTGGCAAACAGCCAGTCTTAAGTTACTGACTCCAGTTGTATTGATTCAAAGAGTCACCGGGGACCCCAGCCTGGCCAACAGAAGGAAAGAACCCATCAGTCTGTCCATCCACGCTTCCTGCCCCTGGTCCCAACTAGCTGCCCGCAGCTTAAAGTCCATCGTGATGGTAACAATTCTCTCCGCGGAGTGGGAGGGGAGCCAAGCAGGCCCTTCACCACAGCCGCTGCCACCGCCCTCTACAAGAGGGCGCCGTCCCCGCGGCACAACACACCCACACCTGGGAGAACCTCCGCGTTCCCTGCTCGGGGCTCCCCGGCACCTCAAGGATCCAGAAAACCGTGGCCTAAGCATGCTCTCTAACCCTAGGAGGACACCTGCCTTCAGCCAGAGGGGAAAGGGGCAGACAATCTCTTCTGGCCTCAGTCCAGCTCCTCCGAGGGCCCCTCCCTCAGAGCTCCAGGTGGGTGGGGGGCTAAGGCAGCTGGCACTTCCTAGTCCCTTTTCCTCCGCGCACCCCCACCCCAAGCTGAGGCAGCCTGGTCTGGTTCTAATCGGCGCTGAAGTCGGCTCCCCAGTCCCTCTTCTCTTTCCCTCCCGCGTCCCCCCACCCCAACCCTCTTCCTTCATTTCCACGGCTTTGGAAGCACCCGCGTTCCAACTGTCTGCGTGCCAAGACCTTCCCGAGTCTGAAAGCTGCTGAAGTAACAGATCAGATTTTAGCAAGTGCTTTCCAGGCTGAGCGCCAAGCCCTCTTCTGATTCAGGAGAGTGAGCGAGCGGGGAGCGAGGCGGGGACGCAGCCTAGGGCTGCACCACCGTGGGCGAGGGTATGCGAAGCGCGGCCCGTTCCGGAGCCGCCTCGCAGGCAAGGGGCCCTCGGCTCTGGTGCCCCGCTCTGCGCCCTCTCACCCGTCTCCCCTCCTAGTTCCACATCTCTCTCTCTCTCTCAATGCTGCAAACGCCTTTGAAACCACAGAGTAATTTACAACTGAAGCTTTCTCCCTGGACTCGGAAGCTACTCGCTTGAAAGGAGCCTTTTTGTTTGGAAGAGCAAGTGGAGATGGTGAAGGGACGGTTGGCAGAGAAAATCCCTCCGTCCTAACTCCTCACCGGGGCCGAGGGGCTCGGAGCCCGGCACATTGTGGCGACTGAGCCCTCCGGCTCCGAGGGTCTCCTCCCAGCCGAAGCGGACTGGGGCCGCGCCAGCCTGAGTCCAGCAACAGAGCCCCTTGCCCTTGGCGGGTTCCCCGCCCGCGCCGGGCGCACGCGGAGCCGCCCCTCGGCGCCCTGGGAACAGGTGCACCGCTCCACGCCCAGGAGGGGTGGGGCCCAGGGAGGGGGCGCGGCCCGGGGGAAGGGGACCGACACGCACCGAGAGGCAGGGGCAGGTGGGTGCAGGGGGAAGGTCAGAGTCAGGAGCCCACGTACCTGTACCTGGAAGCACAGCAGCAGGAAGTGTAAACACCTGCGGGGGAGAGAGAGGGAGAGGAGGTCATTGGGGCTGGAGGGAGGGAAACGCGCGCACAGACAGAGAGACACGCAGCCGCAAAGTCAAAAGAACAGCGGGGCGGGCAGAGCCACAGGCACACGGACAGACGTCCGGGCCGGGTGGGCAGCCCCGAGCGCGGGCGCTTACAGGCAAGTGCAGGCGGAGGGCGCTGAATACATCGCTGGGCGGGGGGGGAGGCGGCGGCTCCTAGCCCAGCCTGCACATGTCCCCTTCGCGCGGCCGGGACCGGGCGCCTCCGCCGCCTCCGCCGCCGCCGCCGCCGCTGCTGCTGCTCCCTCCTCGCCGGCTGCTGCTGCTGCAGACTCTGCTGCTCCGGGGCGCTCCGCGGCGCGCCCTGCGGCATCAGCGCCCCGCGCGGCTCCTCCCGAGCGCTGCGCCCTCCGGGCTGGCGCGGGGGCTGCGAGGCGGCCGCCGCTGGGCAGGAGGCACCCGCCGGTGCGAGGAGCCTGGCTCTCTGCCGGCCGGCCGGCCGTCCGGGCGTCCGCGGAAGGCTGGCTGCCCGACTCACTCCGGGGGCAGCATGCGCGGAGGGTCTGGAAGCTGGGGCGCACTCTCCAGGCGGGGCGTAGGGCTGCGCCAGGCCAGGGGTCAGCGCTCCGGGGCCGGGGCGCGCGGCGGCAGCACGAACGCGTCACGGCCGCTCCGTCTGGGCGCCCGCCGGCTCATGTCTCCTCCTCCGCGTCTCTCCGGCCGTGCGCATCGCCGCCTCCCACCACTGGCGGCGGCCGGGGCGTTTTCTACGCGCGGGCGGCGAGGGGGCGGGGGGCCGGGGGCGGGCCCGGGCCCGAGCCGGCACAATGAGGATGCGGGGCCCGGGGGCTCCCCCCTCGGGGCGCGGCCGGACGGGCGCTCAGCTCGCTTGGGTGCGCCGCGCCCACATCAAAGGCGGCCCTGCCGGCTTGCCGGCCTGCCGCGGCCTCTCCACTGCCGCCTCCTCTTCTCCTGGCTCTCCGGCTTGGAGGGAGGCGCTCAGACTCTCGGCGACGGGACCAGCAGCTCCGAAGGGGCAGAGCCCGCGAACCTGGAGCTGATGAGCGCTGGGAGCCGTCGAAATTCTGCGCCTGGGCGCAGTGACCTGCGCCACGGCGCAAAGGCTGCCAGAATTGAACCGGCTGCGGTCCCCAAGAACGCAGTTAGGTGTAGAATGTCCTTCCTCACCCACATTCGCCCCCGCACTCACACCCACCGGCGCCTGAGTGGGGAGCAGGAGAGGGCGGGTCAGGCCCAACCCTCGGGGAGGCTCCACGTGAGGGGGTCGCTTTCACCCACCCTGTGAGTCCACAGAGGATCGTGGCGTATCCCATATCCCTCTGGGAAGGCTGGCCACCCTAAGTGAACCCCTTTCTAATCTCCGTCTCTGCCGTTGAAAGGGAGGGGGCACTGAGGGTTTCTCTTACGCCCCCCACCCACCCCCTTCCGGGGCTCCGGGGTTGGTTCCCAGCTGGGCTCTGGTGGGCGAGTCACCTTTGGAAACGCACGGCTGCCACCTAGCGTCCCCAAGGCTTCACTGCAGCCCAGCCCGGGCAGGCTATACAGGCCCGGGCGGAGCCAGCAGGACTCTGGTCAGCGACCACTCCAGGCCCTCTTCTGGCCTCTAGGCTGAGATTTGCTATTTTTTGCATACTAAGCAGTTTGACTCTTTTAACCAGGTCCCTTCTGAGAGCATCTCTTCTTACCCTTTCTGCTTCCTCAGAGGCACCACTCCTGTCCTTCCCACCAACCTCAGAATGTAGGTGTTCTTATCACATCTAAGTGCCACACACTGTCTGAAGCTCCAGACAGCCAGGCTCTACTCAGTCATAGGAGAGAAACTGAATAAGCTCAAAAAGCAAAATTCAGGAATCCAGACTATTTGGTTAAAAACTGTGTCATCGATGATGTTCCCTGACTGTGCCATGACTGGTGGTTTCCTATGTTCACTGTGGTTTTCACTTATAGTGAAGCTGAGGTGTGCTTGTGCTTAATCGCTCAGGCATGTCCTGCTCTTTGCAACCCCATGGACTGTAGCCTGCCAAGCTCCTGTCCATGGGATTCCCCAGGCAAGAGTACTGGAGTGGGCTGCCATAGGTGCTGTCCAAAAGCAATACTTCCCATATAAATATCAGCAGTTGTTCAGGCCTCCCTGCGAGCGGCTGTAAGTTCCCTTTCAAGGCTGAGGCTATCTTTAGGATGCTGTGTTTTCCTGTTCATTGTTGGCTGAGTGGGTCTTTGTCTGCTGAGGCTTTCTCTGCTGCAGCACACAGGGGCTACTCTAGCCGAGTGTGCGGGCTCCTCCCTGCAGTAGCTTCTCTTGGTGCGGAGCTCAGGCTCAGCAGGTGCAGCTCCCCAGCTCTAGAGCACAGGCTCAGTCGTGGCACAAGGGCTTAATTGCTCCAAAACATGTGGGATCTTCCCAGACCAGGGAGCAAACCCGTGTCTCCTTTCACTGGCAGGCGGATTCTCTACCACTGAACCACCAGGGAAGCCCAAAGCTGAGGCTATCTTAAACAGACTCTGTCTCGGCACTGAAGACAAGTGCAGAAAACCTTTTCAAAGCCAGATGCCGAGTGATGCAGAAAGTTCTTGTTTGAAGCACTGGGCTGAATTTGACATTCTCATTGCTAGAGCTCGTAAATCCCAAGATAGCATGAGATGACCAACCCAAAAGAAATGAACAGAAATGCTCCTTTAAGGTCCTGTGGCTTCACCATGTGCTTGATCTTTAAGACCTCTGACAGACCAGTCAAGAGGTGGTTTTGGCCTACTGCCTGCTGAAGTGGGGTGTTTGAAGCATCTCCTGGCTAAGAATCAATACTTCCAGTTTCCTATACTATTTTCTACTACTTTTGAATGAAAAAAAAATGAGTACATCATTACTCATATTCTAAACTACTTGCAGTTTTTTTTAAGGCTCAGATAGCATCTGTTGATTTTACAAAGTTGTCACCCAAATAGGATTGGGCTTCCCTTGTAGCTCAGTCAGTAAAGAATCTGCCTGCAGTGTAGGAGACCTGGTTTTGATCCCTGGGTTGGGAAGATCCCGTGGAGAAGGGAATGGAAACCCACTCCAGTGTGTCCTTACCTGGAAAATCTCATGGACAGAGGAGCCTGGTGGGCTGCAGTCCATGGGGGTCGCCAAGAGTCAGGCACGACTGAGCAACTAACACTTACTTACAAACAGGATTGACTTTAAGAGATGATCTGAGTAAGAGTGTAAACTCAAGAGTTAGAGGTCCTGCCTTTGAATACTGCCTCCAACACTTACTTATCAATTCCTGCAAGCTTCCTCATCTACAAGCCACATCTTCCACATCTAAGAACAGCAACAAGTGTTGAGTTGCTGAGTTACCAAATGAGATCATTTGGTCTGGCTCACAATGAAGGTTTCAAAGGTTTTAGTTATTATTTAATAATCCTGATCAGGGTTTTCAGGTTACTCTCTCTCATGTTTTTGTTCACGAAGCCGGAAAGCAGGATCATTCTCAATTTACTGAAAAGAATTTTTCTACTCCAAATCGAATTTTTACACATTCTTCCCTTTCCCCATCATTCACACCTTCAAACCTATTGATTTACCATACAAATGAATCTTAAATGAGCTTTTTCTATTCAAATATGACACATTCATGTAGCAATATGGGTCTCTAGTTTGGTAGTCACTTCTCTCCAATTTTTTCAATCACTGTTTATTGCATCAGGCCCTGGGAGAAGGCCTTTGCTTTAAAAAGCACTTCACTTCTACCAAAACAAGCAATAAGCAAATAAGCCAAGAGATAAATTCAAGCTTAACAGCACTTTGAGGGAAAACAATGGAATAGAGAGCATCAATTGGCAATACTTAGGCTAAGACCCAAAGGTGGGAAAGCCAGCCATGCACAGTATTCCAGGGAGAAGATATCAATTGCCTCCAAATGGGAAAAGGATGGGTGCAAGTTAGCAAGAGGGTAAAACCGGGGTGGGTACCTATTAGAAGCCTGAGAGATGGAGTATTTCCTGCTGAATCATCAGTAAACCAGGATGTCAGAGTGATGAGCAACTTTGGCCCTCCAAAAGGGAATTTCTGAGCCCCTTAGGCAACCAGGAAGGAGAACAATACCTCTAATCCAGCAGTCAGGCTGTAGCCACTCCCAACAGTGAGCTTGAAAAAGGCAGGTTGCTGGCCCCAGATAGCCCAGATGCATATGTAAGGCATGATTTCAATGAGCCCAGGCTCCTGCATTCCCCATATATAGAGAAGTGCTAAATTCCTTGAGGTATCTGGTTTTAATTCACAGAAACACTTTTGACGTCCAGACTACCTGCTCTTTGTTGCAAATTTCTGTATAACCCAACTCCTCCACCCACCTCCTCTGAACAGTTGTCACTTGAGACACTCTCCCAGGCTTGAAGTCCTAAAAATTCCCACCGAATGTAACAGCTCTCAACTTTTAGGCTGTGGCTTTTAAGTCGACAAGCCGTCAAAAGGCCTTTTAAGGCACTATTTATGTACAATTTTTAAATGCTTGGAGTTCAACAAATGTTTATACTTATGTAAACACCTTTCTTGAGCAATCTCCCCACACCCATCCCTAGTCTCAAGTTACCATTAATCTGCTGGCACTAGATTCGTTTCACATAAATGCATCCACATACAGTACCTGCTCTTCTGACTTCTTTTGCTCAGCATGTTTGAGATTCATCCTCACTCCTGTCTTTTTTTGGCTTCAGCCCGCAGCTTGTGGGATCCCAGTTCCCTGACCAGTCGTCAAACCCATGCCCTCTGCATTGGAAAGTAAGTCTTAACCTCTGAACTACCTGGCCAGTCCAATCTGGTTGCTGTTATCAGTATTGTTCCTTTTTACTGCCAACTAGTACTCAGTGGCTTCCCCAGTGGCTCAGATGGTAAAGAATCTGCCTGCAATGCAGGAGACCAGGGTTCAATCCCTGGGTCATAAGATCCCCTGGAGAAGAAAATGGCAACCCACTCCAGTATTCTTGCAATGGAGAATTCCATGGACAGAGGAGCCTGGCAGGCTCCAGTCCATAAAGTTGCAAAGAGCTGGACACAACTAAGTGACACTTTCACTTTCAGTTCTCAATGTGGATAAACCCATTTGTTTGGCAATTTAACAAAGGCTTGGTAAGTAAGGGCCAAAGTCCAGTCTGTTTTTAAAAAGCTTAATGCAGCATGGATACATTGTAATGGCGTGACGCGACAGTGGCCTTGAGGCCAATGAAAAAGCTGTTACTAGTTCAGCTAGTTATGGTAGCTGAGACCAGGTGGCTGTGTGCTAGTTTGGTGTTGGGGAGTTGGACACACGAACAGTCAAATTCCCAGCTCTAGGCTAGCAAGTTTGCAATTTTCTGAGCAGATCTCATTGGCAAAACTTCGCTGGTTGTCTCAAGGGTAGTTGAGAATGTATGCAGACCGCTTGACCAATGGAAAGGAACCCCTGGAAGTGTTCTGCCTACTGATTAATCCTAAGCACCTAGATGCTTTGGGACAGAGTATCTACATGTTTAGATTCTACCTCATTTTCAAGTTAAAGTACACTCATAACACTGCAACCTGACATTCCTTTTCCACCTTTCCAAACCTAAGAATCACAAAATTCAGGGAGTCTATAGAATATATTTTGGAGACAAAGATGAGAGAACCTTCAGCCTAAGAAAATTGGACAAACACAGCCTCGTCTTCAAGAGGATCAAGTAGCTCAGTGAGAAAAGTAGACCCTTAGCACAGATGCAGCTGTAAAATTTTCTCTACATCAGCTCTTGGAACTTTCACAGCATTAAAATAGGATGTCTACTGCCAAGTTCATGAGTCAGGGAGCAACTGGTTCTTTTGTTAAAATCTGGCTAAAAGGTAGCCTTAGACTTTCTGCAGTAACTTTAACCCTGTATCTCCAGAGCCCAGACCACTAACCTTTAATTTTGTGACCCTTAACCTTCTCTTAGATAAATTTCAAACAAAAACAGCCCTATCCTGACAATGTATACACAATCCCCTCCCTATTAACTAAATAGCTTTTACAAGTTTTACACAGGACTATAAACCTCATTTTATTATCATATGCATGATCCAGTAATTTGGACAGCTCTCAAATAGCATCCCTTATTAACCTATCTTGTCCTCTGGTTCAGGTTGAAGGTAACTCTGTAGAGTTCTCACCGGTGACCTAAAGATATCAAAACAAAAAGGTATCAAAAAGAGAAGATTCCTGCTAAGTGCTATCTTTGCCCTGCTAGTACTCAAAAATGTTCCTGTTTTTGCAAAGGGTCTTATCTGACCATCCAGGTTAATTAAGTCTGTTAAACAGTATTAATGAGCCATGAACTCCCACCCAGGCTGTGATCTCTAAATGCCACTTTTAACATAAGGAACCAAAAAGCTCTGTGGAAGAAATCGATCAGTAAAGGTCTGAGATAAAGAAAATGTATTCGAACCTGAATTTAGTAGACATCATTAAAATCTATAAACACTAGAGAGGGTGAGAAGAGAGAATTTTAAAAAAAAGATTTCAGCCATTAAAAAAAAGAATGAAATAATGCCATTTGCACCAACATGGATCCAACTACAGATTACCATACTAAGTCAGAAAGAGAAAGACAAATACCATGTAGCACTTATATGTGGAATCTAAAATATAGCACGAATGAACCTATCTGTTAAACAGAAACAGAACAGACTTGTGGTTGCCAAATGGAAGGCAGGCAGGGGAGGGACGGACTAGGAATTTGATGCTAGAAAATGCAAAATATTACACATAGAATGTATAAACAACAAGGTCCTATATTCAATATATTCCTGGGATTAATCATAATGGAAAACATTTATAAAAAGAATTGTCTGTATGTGTATAAACGGAATCATTCTGCTGTACAGCAGAATGACACAACATTCTAAATCAACTACAACAAAAAATTTTTATAGTTTTGAAAAAATACTCTTTAAGTTACAAAAAATTTCAATTCAGAATACTTGTTACTTTCAGGTATGCTGACATCAACCATCTTTCTCAAAATTGGTAAATGAAACATTAAATGGTTTTCAAAATTAAGCAGAGGCAGCACAGTAGATTTAAAAGTGACACATTCAGCTGCTTTCTAGCGGGCTGCGTGTACTCAGCTGCGCCCGACTCTGCCACCCCATGGACAAAGCAGCCCACCAAACTCCTCTGCCCATGGGGTTCCCTTAACTATGCTTATGTTTAGCGTTTATACCAATATTGACTTATGACCAATCTCACTGAGTAGTTTATACAGAACAAAGGGAAGTCAGTGTCTTTAAAAGAGGATTTCCTAAGCCTGTGAGTAGTAGTTTAATTTCCATGATACCAGTTTAATTAACTATCATGTTTAATTGGCTGGTATCTAATAGCTAACACTATCAGAGACTTCTGAGGCACAGGGAATCTTTAATTCCTGTCCTTTCAAAAAAAAGCAGCCCTCTAGATCTGATTAGCTGTATTTAATAAGGTAACAATCAGTAAGGCCAATTGCGTTCCCTCAGAGTGGTGGAAGTTCTTTTAGATTTCCTGCCACACAGAAGTGCCCATCAGGTAAACCAAACGTTTAACTTCTACACAACACAACTCAATAAAAATTTCAGACATTACTATCAGCAAGCATACTTCTACTTCTGAACTAGTATTAGTTAAGTAACTAATACTAGTAATTACCTAACACTCTTATATCACAAACTAATAAAAAACACTACCCAGGGAAGGAATGACTCAATTTTACTGCAGTTGCATTATCTGAACACCAGCAATTTTTCAATATAGGATGGCTAAGTGATTTGGGACTCTTATCAATTTAAAGTAGATCATCTTTTAAAACTGAAGTACATAAACATCTTTTAAAATGGATGTGATTTCAATAAAGAACAATGAACATTTACCATCTCCCAGTATGCCTCCATTAAAATAAAGAGGAGCTATAAGGGCAGACACAACTTATTCAGATATAATTGAATAATCGATGAAGAAAATCACAACGTAAATGACTAGAAGAGAAACCTAACACTTGGAAACAGATTAGACAAGACAGTACTGCCCCAGTATTTTTTGCCACCCTCCAAAACTTTGGAAAACTACCCCAGAGATGGAAAGGCTAAAATCTTCAGACTTCCATCAAAATAATCTGGAACTAGAACGCAGTCATCAAGTAACACCCTTCTAATCAATATAAAATATAAAATAGGCTGGGAGTGAGTGGGGTAATGAGTAACAATGCATGGATAAGAAAGTTCTTTTCCAGACTCTAGATACTATATCCCAAGAACTAAGGAAGAACATTTGGAAATTAAAAAAAGAAAACCAACACAAATTTGAAGACAGAAAATAAAGTCTCTCCCCTAAAGTTTAAACAGAAAGGAATGAGGATAAACAAAGAATCATACAGAAAGCCTAAGAATGGATGGGAGTTTAGTAGGAGGCTTAAATCTCAGAAGAACACACCCGAGAGTCTCGAGACTACACCCACAGTCCACCCAGGGTCCAGAAGACTGCAGGACATAACACTCCAGAACAGCATCAGTAAAGCAACCTTAGAAACTATTGGAGGATACATGACAGCAAACCAAGTAGAAGAGGAATCTTGCCCTGTCATGCAGTTGAATCTTGCTGAGACAGTTAAAGGGGTTCTAAGGATTAGTCCCCAAACGTGCTCACGTAACCACTACATGCAATAAACTATCCTCCCCCAAGAATCTTAAGTATGTTATGTGCTATTTTGGATAAACTGAAAAGAGAGTCCCAGAAAGCATTTTCTGTTCTGGTTCACACAGAATCCAGGCTGAGAAAGGCTGCTGCGGGGTACTTAACATGCCAGATTTTCTTTGGGAGTGAAAAGGCTAGGTTGGGTGGTAGAAGGTCCGAGGAACATTTGATTATGTAAATGTATTTCTCTGACGAAGTATAAAGAGGATAATAGAAAGAGAAACAGGGCTACTTTATTAAAATACTGAGTTTATTTCACATGTATATTTTTGTCTCCCCACCATTTCCATCTGTCTGACCACCACTACTACTATTCCTATCATAACATTCCATACATACTTAAAACCAAGCAAAGGGTGGAGTTCCATCTTTAAAAACTAAACAGGCATTTTGGACAACACATTCTTGGCAATGGAACGTGGACAACATTTATCAGACACGGTAGGGAAAGTTCTCACTCTGCATTATAAAAAGGACAGCCAGATATCAACTGTTACAGAAATGAAATAAGACGGAAAATTTTTAACAAACTGTTTAAACTATTTTCTTAAAGAGACTTCCTCCACTGCCAGAGATCTTGAATAGCCTGGAAAAAAAAAAAGAAATGTGGTTGAAAAACCACAACACTTCATAGACACCAATAAATTAAACCACGTCTCTTTGTAAAATTCAAAATAGCTATTTTTCATTCCACCACCAAAAAGGTTCACTCTAGATAATTAATAACTGATTTCAAGGAAATTTATACTCATAATTTAATTTCAAATACTTCAATTTGAACATAAAATCCTATGATTCTTGTAGGCAAAGTCACTTTCATACTAACACACACTTAACAGCTTAGACATTTAGCTAAGGAAATCAAGACTAGTTTGCTCAATGTTGCCTCAATGCCACCTGCTTTAGGGCCAAATTCAGAGAAAAACATGCACCTGTATATGGGACACACACTAAAAAGTTACATTTATCTGAAATAAACTATATACCAGTTATATCCTTCTTTATCTCTAATTATATTTCCATGATATCTTAATAGTTCCTTGTTTTACAGAATTTGCTTATAAATTCCTTAGTTAGGCTTGTATCTTATCTTGGTACATTTTAAGTTCCTAAAGTGGTCACATCCAAATTACTTTATTAATGAGAAGACATATGAGACAGTATATAGAACATGTTCTGCCTATTAGTTACTCAGACAAGCTCTTCCAGTTTAAACACATAAACCCATCTTCCATGACTTGTCTTTCCATTCCTGAAAACTAATAATATTGCAGTGCTTCAAATCAACAGGAACTGAATATCATGTCATTCTCTAATCATTAAGTTAAATACAAATATCAAACAATATATTTCATAGTATTTGAAAAAGTCAAAATGTTATCAGATGGTTCCTTGACCTGCTTTATATAGAGTACTGATCTTAGAGTAATTCATGCTTCAACTTTGACCAAACATTGTTTGCACCTTTATACAAACATTCAGCAAAACTTTTATCTGCAGTATCTCCTCAAAAGGTAGTAGTACATTTTCTTAACTTTTTAATTCAAGAGTTTCTGCAAAAAGTTGCTATTTCTCAGGTCCCATCTAGATTTTATTAGCCTAATTCTCACAAGCATCTCTAAAGAAAAACTGCACAAGCAATGGGAAGATATTTTATACATTGTGATTATTCATATCTGCAACTATGCAGTAAAAATATGACGAATTCAGCATTTTGATAATTTCCATTAATAGTGAAGTGAATTATCATATTTTTCATTATTACAGAAATTTCACCCTGGCACTTCAAAATATACTTTCAGTTTTGAAGTCAGAAAATACTTCTGATAGCAGTGAGTTCAGTCATTTCAGCTACAAGACTGGTATTACACTATTTGGAAGGCCTTTCCAATTTCACCTCTTTATCTTCACCTGAATTTTTCTTAATCAAAATTGTATTTCACTACTTCCTTTGGTATTAGCTTAAATTATGTATCTCTTATGCTTATCAGTAACAGATGATAATTTATATATCTCACTTTCCACGATTTTCAACACTGAATTAACAATTATCTACTACACCATTTTTAAAAGGGCTTTTATTTTTACTAAAATCTCCACTATTCAGAAATTTCACAAAATATACACTGGCATTCTGGAATTCAAATATACATAAAGACAGAACAGCAACCAAAAGAATCAAAAAGATTCAATCTGATCATCTCAAGACCATGGCAATGAAGGCTGAACTCTACGTAAAGAATATTAAATCACTGAAAGACTTTCAAACCTGAGAAAAAGTGTTGCCATTAAGTGATTTAAGTACTAAATACTGTGGCAGAAAAAGAGCTCTAATAACAAATTTCTTAATTTACTTAAGAAAGCTGAACACAGGAGATTTAGGGAGTCCTGACAAAAATAACACAGAACATGTCCTGTATGTACATAATGCCTAGCAACCTTGTGTAACAGCTTTTACATTTTCCTTTACAACCTGAGTCAACAACTAGAAGACAGTAAAAATAAATGCATGATTTTTCTTTTACTGACAAAATACCTTCATATTAAGAAATACAAAATCTAAATCAATATATTGAGTACAATTTGGCTTCCTGCTTCCAAATTTTACACTTAGGTCTATTTCAGCAACATGTACTTCCCATAACATCTATGGAGAAAATCATCTCTGCCAACTCGTAAGAAAGCAAAAAGACCAGACTGCCCCAAGGAGCCAAATGGAGCAGCAAGGAAAACCACAGCTCATTTCCTTAGCCAACACAGTACCAAAAGCAAACTGAGTTCAGTAACCAAGAAATAACTTACCAACTATATAAAAGCTGGGAAAAATGTACTAAAAAAGTTATCTTCTCAGTTTTTGCCAACTAAATTCTTAAGAGTTTCCATGTATTTAATCTGAAGTATTGTCTGTGGTTAGGAACCTTTTAAAAGAAGCCAATACCTAAAGAGACTAAACAACCATAATAAATCACAATAAAAATTCTGGATTTGGTCATGTCTCCAGAAAGTTCAGTTACCTCCTGGTCAGTCATCCGGAAACAATTCTTCACATAATTGATAAACTTGGCTTCCACTTTGGGAAGTGAACCACCCTATGGAGACAAAAGCATAAGGGTAAGTATAGAAACACTTTTTGAGGGAGATGATTATGAAATTCCTAAGATTTGCGTGCTATATATTACATGGGATTATTTGTGATCATTCCTTGTCCTTTCAAATCTTTTAATACCGAATAAACCCTTTTTAAGAAAGCCTAGAAAGACGTTTGCACAGCATATTAGGACCTAGGTCTTCCATACAGAATAAGTTTCTGACATCCGCCCACCCACTCCCAGCCACTCTAAAAAACATATAGCCCCTTTGAGTATCATATACACAAGTGACAAAAATTGTTAACCTGAATCTTCTATGCATTTTAGAAAGATCAAAAGAGTTTCAGGTGTGGTGAATTCTTAACTGCCTTATCACCTAGAAAATGAACCTGGCTTTAATTTACATTTTTAAATTACTGTCACATCCGTTATTTGATTCAAATATTTATTGAGCAGCTAGGGAAATACATGGTCAGAGGTGAGGCAATATAGAGGCACAAATAGAAAGCAAAGTATAAGGTTCACTGAATCACAGCAGGCAAAGTGTTTTAGGAGATCAATTGATTGCTTCCAGCCTGGAAGGGGCATGGGTGGGTGGCCAATCAGGAAAGGGGATTGAGATTAAAATAGAAGACTTCAGTCTGGACTGCTGATGATACTCAGTTTGGACTATATGTGTCTCTCCTTTTCCTCTCCCCATCTTTGGGCTTAATTTACCAGTAGTGCCCAGGACTGTTCAATGCGCCTGCAATTAAACCAAGGAGATAGGACCATATTAAAATTGAGGGGGAGGATATCTAAATTGTCAGTCTAGCACTGTATGCAAGGGATAAAAACAGCAGTGATACCAGGAAGGCTAAAAGATTTACAGCAGTACTGAAACAAAATCAAGAAATACATTCTGGTTCTAAAATGTTAGTTTTCCAACTGACTCATAACTGCATAAGGAAAGGAAATCTACCGAAGCCTTGCAGAACCTAGAAAGCATTGGAAAAACAAGGGAAAAGGAATTACTAACTTTTCCTCTCAATTCTACATTTATTCTCATTAACTGAGGTCTAAGAATATTAATTCTGCTCACAGAATTTTAAAGGTTCCTCTCAAATGTTTCAAGGCATTTAAATCAATTACGCCATACTCTAGAGTTCACTAAAGTCCATGAAATGTAGATTCTCCCAACTCCAAATCAAGCAAGTAGGACAAAAGCTAATCTTTTTCTCACGTGTTCCCACTACTTAAGACAAAAGTTAACTAAATATAAACATGTTTGTCATTCAAATATTCAAGGATCACATGTATTGACTGGTGACACCTTGGTGCAAAAGGCAAATAGAAGTAATTTATTTGTTGGAGAATGTTTCTGACTAGTCAAAAGTGTGTAATTTTTTTTTAAACTGTAACAGCCGGACTACATTTACAGCTGTTTGCAATTTTAGAAGACTCATACGCCCTCTGCTGGTACTGTGGAATCTTATGAAGAGAACAGGCAACGGGAAATGGTCTAATTTAACATCTAAAGACATATCAGAATATATCTTACCATCAACTTATTTGTATTCCTTTTATAATAGAAAATAAAGCATATGTAAATTCAAATATACAAAAAAAAAATCACCAGAGATTATAAACTAGTAAGCTTTTTTTTTTTTAAAGTAAGCCATTTTTGAGAAAGTTTCACACCACAAAAGGGCAGGTATATTAGGATAAAAAATGAGAAACAGTTCTGTTCCAATCCCCAGAAAGTTTCTTTAAGGAAGATTATTTTACTCACTTTTTCTATACTTGCTTGCATTTTTGCTTTAATGTCTTCTACAGAGCTAGGTCCTTTCGGTGTTTTAGGTGTTTTTTCCTGTTTTTTGAAGGATTCTTGACCCTGAAAGAAAAAGTAAATTTCAATACAGTATCTGGATTTTCTCAATAAATAAAATTCTTAAATCCTTTACTGTAAAAACAAGTGTGTATACACCAGAGTTGAGTTACCAATATACATTAATTCATCTGAATAATTATTTTTGCCCTTAAATTATTCCTTAATTGGAAACTAGAAGGTCCCTAAGAATAAATCAAAGGTATTACAGTTTTATGCCTGGGGCCCATTCCATAGGACTTATGAGAAAATCTCCCAATATGCAGCCAGCTGTGAGAAACTGCCTTATGTGATAAATACACCTTTTAGATATAAGCAAGAACCCTTAAATAACACAATATCACAAAAATCTTTGTTGGCTTTCTCCCTTATGAGAAAGCCAGCAGCAATATACAGTTGACCCGTGAATGTCAATAGATGAGCCCAGCACTCACCATGGTCATTAGTATATGTATTACTAGCTTACTGTCAGCCCTCCCCATCTGTAATCCCTCTGCATCCAGACTGAACCAACCATGGATGTGCAGTACTATGGTGTTTACCACTTAAATCCATGATGAATGGACCCATGCAGTTTAAAACTTTGTTGTTCAAGGGTCAACTGTCCAGTATAGGATGAATGCCAATAAAATAAGCACATTTTAGCTGTTTTGTCACCCTAAAGTCATTCTCCAAAGACCTACCAAATTTTATGAGAGCAGTAGAACCTAACTACTTCAATGAAGCTTGCATCTGTATGTATGTTACCACTTACTTTTGATCTTGGTGTTGATGGTTTTGAGTCTTTTCCATTTTGGTTCGATTTTTGTGCATTTTTGGCTGGAGTATCTCGTACAGACTGCAATTAAATTCATCACATTAATCTTAATCAATGCCCCTCCCTACAGAACAGACTGACTGTAGTCACCAGTCACTCAGTATGTCCTACTCTATTTGACCCCATGGACTGTCGCCTACCAGGCTCCTCCGTTCATGGGATTTTCCAGGCAAGGATACTGGAGTGGGGTGCCATTTCTTTCTCCAGGGGAGTCTTCCTGACCCAGAAATTAAACCCAGGCAGGTCTGCCTGCATTGCAGGTCTGAGCCTCAGGGAAGCCCAAACCATGTGAACAGACAGAGTGCTGCAAATTAAACCACCCCAAAGCATGTAAAAGCAGCAGTCAGGCTAAGATAAGATAATCATTTTCACAAAAGGGCTAATGGGGAGAAGGCTACTACTACACAGAGAGAACAAGTTAATTCCTCACTACTAGGAATGTTTCCAAAACAGCCCTATTCAAGAGCAATTTTAAGTGGGAGATCAGCATCTTCTGTGACAACTTTCAATAATCATCAAACAAGCCAAAGAAATCAAAAATCCCCACCTTTTATTATTAACTATTTCCAACAATCTTAAATTACTGTATCTTACTTACTTTTTTTACTGGAGCTTTTTCTTCAACTTCCTCATCAAAATCGTCATCATCATCACTACAAATGAAGTAAGTGCTTATTACTTATTCGATGTACTCAACAAATCTAGAAAGCATATCTAGAAAGTGGGTGAACCCACGAGTTTAGTCAATCAAAGCAAATCAAACTTTTGGGGGTCGACAGAAGGACTGAAAGCACAGCCCTTAAGGGAAATGCTGTCAAATGCAGCGTATGGATGAGCCGCTCGGACATGGTACCACGGGGAGACTGTCAGACCTCACAAGGTAAATCAACACTGTACCATGCCCTTATTGGAGGTTCATCTACAGCAATCACTACAGAAACCAGAAGATGGGTGGCTGCCAGGGGAAAGGTGGAAATGAGGACTTTTGATTCAGTGGTTACGGTTTTTAGTATTATTAGATGAGCCTGACCTGTTACACAACAATGTCATTATGATTAAAACTACTAAACTGCTCACTTCGAATAGTTAAGATGGTACAGTTATTTTTTACAACTGAAAAGAGATGTTTAAAAATGAAAACAGCGTTGAAGAAATTAAAATAGCGACATCCCACACTCATGGACTAGTAAACACTACGGTGGCAACTCCCCACATTAGTTTGCAGATTTAACAAAATCCCTAAAAGAATCCGAGGCGGCTTCTCCATAGAAACTGATGCTAAAACTCACACTGAAGCTCAAGGAAGCCAAAATGCACCTTGAGAAAGAACAATGTCGAAGCATTCATGTTAAGTAATTACAAACTAAGGTGTATAAAAACTACAAAGCAACAGAAATCAGAATGTTTTACTAGTGGTAGGACAGACATAGAACTGAAGGATCCAGAAACAAAACTATGTAAGCATGGTAACTATTTTCAAAATGGGGGGAAAGACCATTCAATGGGGAAAGATCTTTCACAAATGGTGCTGGGACTACTGGGTATTCACAGTAACTTAATTCAAAATGGATAAAAGATCAAAAATGAGCTAAACTATAAATCTGGAATGGTTTCTTAGGTTTGACACCAAAAGCACAAATAATAAAATTAACTGGACTTTATGAAAGTAAAAAACTTTTCAGTAAAGGACTGTCACACAAGACAACACATGGGATGGGAGAAAACATTTGTAAATTCTAAGGGATTTGTTTCCAAAACATACAAAAGTTCTTATAGCTCAATAATACAAAACAAGTACAAGTACTAGCACATGCTACAAAGGTGAATCTTAAAAATATTGAGGCTAAGTGAAACCAACCAGCAGAAAAGGGCACACACTATGGTTCCATTTATATGAAATATCCAAAACAGACAAATTTTTTTAAAAAAAATATATTAGCAGTTGACTAGAGCTGGAGAAAATGAGGGGTTATACCATGGTTTCTTCTGAGGTGATGAAATGCTCTGAAATTGGCTGCACAACTGGGCATATACCATAAACTATAGAATTGTACTCTCAATGTGCAAACTGGGGGGTGAAATGCAACTATTAGAGAAGTCCACAAGTATGAAACAGGAAATAGTGTAACTGCTTGAAATTTTAATTACCTCACAAACTGAGTATTACATAGTCCCAAAAATAAGACAACTTCATATATGTTCAACCAAAGAAACACCTCTTTTCCAATACCAGAGAAAAACATCTGCTGTGTTAACTGGATCAAGTACCATGTAATTTACACTAAAAGCATATAACATCTCTTAAGTGACTTTCATCACTGATTTTATCAATTTTGGCCCTAGCACCCAAAAACTACATGTGGTACCCCCATAAGAAAAGATGACAGTGATTTTGTATACAATCACTACCAGTACTGTAAGCAGTTTTAAGTATCAGAATATTGCCTAATAAAACAGGTGGAGAGGATGTTTTTTCTGGAGAACCCCACTTTTCTCATTGCTACCTCAATGTAGAACCAGAACAATCTCCACCACCCCCTCACCTGACCTGGCTCCTGTGGGAAAACCTACAACTTGGAAGGAAGTACCGCTCAAGGAGCATCAGGACCCAACCCTAAGCACAGGCCACCTGGGGAATGGCCACTCTTGCCCAACAGTGGCCCCAGGCCAACCAGGCTTGAGCACCTAACACTTTCTGGGCCCCCTAAAAACTGTCCTTATATACCCATTACAGTTCCCTGGGCCACTCAGAATAACAATAATCTACCAAGGCTGCATTTGTAAACCATACTAACCTTTAAACTTTTTATACTGGAATATAGTTAACAATGTTGTGTTGGCCATATTAAACTTTTAATGTACTCAATGGTCTTCAGCTTTTCTTACATGAACAGCAAGTCAACCAACCCCACACCATACCCTTTCCACCCCCAAAACAGGACCCACTGGTCACTGCCTCCTAACCAACGGACTCTAAACCTTGGTACCCTCAACAGGATCTATTAACTGCCTCTACTTATTCATATATCTGACTAAACACTTTTCCCCCCTTATACCAAAAATCTTCCTGATTTGGACTTGGCTACCATCTACACTTTTCATTCCTCCCTAATCACCTAACTAAAGAGAACTTAAAGGAGACATGAAAGACAAGAACACCAACTATTTACATTGTAGTTACATCAGGAATTATCCCTTTTAAAGATAGGAAGTCTTGAAAGCCCAAGCATAATCAAGTAGTAACAAACACCAACTATACTGTTTGTTCTGTGATATACAGGTTAACTTAGAATTTTAAGCGTTCAACTCTTTCCTATTTTCTGCTTTCATTATCATGCTCAAAGACCTTTTAAAATAACTACCAGCTTGACTAGTTGAGGTTACTGAAAATCTGATTTGCAGATTTTTCATTAGTGCATGTTCTCAGAGTCTGTCTTAGATTCCAGTTTCAGTTGGTTTCAGTATATATGGACCAACATGAGAACTTAAGAACAAAGCTGACAGGCAATTAAACATTCAATACTAACAAATTTTTATATTGCTACATATAGGAAAGACTAATTATGAGTAGCATTTTATTCCATACCATGTTTGTAACTTTACCATAGTCGAACCTAGTTAACAAACATATCAAATCTTGTTTACGATCATTAAACTCTCCAATAAAACCCTACTCCCTTTTAGAATCTAATTCTCTCCTAAGGACCAGATAATCATGGGCCAAAATCCTTTATGAGGAAAAAAATCATCATGTGACAACTTACAAAATGTATACAGCTGGAGCTATTCAGATTCTTTGTAGGCCTAATCCATTTATTACTGTACAGTAATAAAATACAGCAAACTTAGCATACATTAATGTGTCCACTAAATTCTCCTCAGGAAAAAAAAGGAACCTAGTTAAATATATTTAGGAAATGCTACATACTTCATCCTTTAACACAAACTGACAACCACTGACCATTCACCTCTTGTGTAACTAAAACAATTACTTAATCCCACATGATGATTTTGATAAATTGTTCTCATAATCACTCCCATACAACTATGTCAAGTTTCTAAGGGCTTACTACTTACTCGTCTTCATCATCATCATCATCATCTTCATCATCATCATCATCTTCATCAGCAGCAAGCTTTACTTTTTTCTTAAAAAAATAATTGGACACATACTCGTAAGTGCTAATCCAAACTACTGAACTAAAGGCAAGAATAAATTATGTGTAGCAAATTACATCCATACCTGGGGAACCTTGCTACCACTTCCAGGGGCAGAACGCTTTCCAGATATACTTAAGAGTTTCACATCCTCCTCCTCTTCATCTTCTGACTCTGCATCTTCCTCCACAGCTAAAATAAAATTCTTTATTAGCCACTATTAAAACTCAACAGCAAGAACTCAGGGGAAAAAAGCACTGCTTTTCTAGTTATAAATTACTAGGTTTCCACTTGAACCTATTACAGACAGTAGCACCAGAACTAAACATACTTTATAAAGTCCAAGTTGGGAACAAGGCAACTGCATTCAAAAGAATACAGTGTAACATACCTACTAAGTGCTGTCCACTGATATGCACAGGCCCTGAACCACACTTCAACCGTAAGACCACAGGTGGTGTAATTTCAAAGCCCCCAAGAGAAACCTACAAAGAAATTATAAACCACTAAATATTGTGAAAAAAAAATGTTACATGTTTGGTATAAAATCTGTTCATAACTTTAAAATGTTTCTGAACAAGCAAACCCATCAGCCAAATGAACAAATCAGTGAGCCAGTTTTTTCACAAACAAGCAGCTACCACATGTTCAAGAGTTATCAGTCACCCCAGTGACAGAAGAGTAACCCAAATGACATCCACCTTAATGAAACAGAATTAGACTAAAATCTAATTAGACAAAATTAGCCTAAAAGTACTAAAGCGCCCTTACCGTTGGCTGTACAGACATTTTCAAAGTTGCCAGTGTTACTTTAATTGGACTGCCTTCATAATTCATCGCCTCTGCTTCAACAATGTGTAACTCATCCTTTGCTCCAGCCCCTAAACTGACCTGTAAAGAGAAAAACAGTGCTTCAACTTAGTTTCCACCATTCTACAAAGCCCTGCAAACTAGTTGTTTTTAAAAGTAGACAATTATAACCTTTCATTATTACCACTGACCAGATAAACTGACTTGAGCACAATGCTCTCTTCAAGTTTTATGTGACTAAGATTCAGTAAATCTAAACAGAAAAACACATTTGATAACACAGATGTTTATGTCATCACGCATGCAAAGTATAAGTCACCTAACATTTATTAGCCACCTACAAGTTAGGTTGTAGGCTATAGGCTACTGTCTGTGGGGAACAAAATAAGATCTGCATCTATCACTCTTAAAAGGCCTTTTAATCCAACTGAAGAAGCGAAGTACACTAATAAGGAAAGCTGAACAGTGTGACTGGACTTTACAATTGCCAGTAAGTGGTAAAGAGGCCAAGTTTCCTGCACACACATTTAGAAAATCAAGTAGGGACAATTCAGAAAAACACTATTATAAAGTATTAAGCCACACTTAAGTAATAACAACTAAGAGGCTGAAATCCAGAAAAGTTATGTAATTTATTTTGAAAAGTTTAAATACCGTTCTTAAAGATAACTGGTGCTCATTTTCATCATTATCCACCTTGAAGTGATAATCTCTGTCAGCCTTTAGTTCACAACCTGTAAATTAAGAACAAAACCAACTGTAACAAGTAGAAAAATAACACTGAAACTTCAGTGTGTGTAATTAAAGAGTTAACTTGTAAAGGAATTTTTACTATTCTAGCTACCAAAAAGGAAGAGATACCACTCCCTGGATTTCTTGAACACAAGTTTATCAACATCAAATAATATCCATACAGAGCATTATAAATTCCACTTTCCCACTATACTATTTAATTCTCAACTACATGGTCTCAGAAATAGGATCAAAAATTCCAGTAAAGCTGGAATTGAAACCCACCCTAACAATGTTGATAAAATCCCACTGTTTAAAAAAGTTGATTACCTACCAAAACTCCCAAGTGCCAAATTTAGAAGTGGCAAGGGTTACACAAACACCTACATCAACAGCTTGTTATTTGTAGCAGAAAAACTACAAATGTAGAACTAAAACTCCCTACACGGGTCAACATTCCACTTTTGAGGTGTCAGAAATCATGTACATTAAATTCTGCTCCGAAGTTAAGACATGGAAATATGTTAAGGATATTTCCAATAGAGTTAACAAAAATTTTGATAGAAATAGATCCGAAACGCTGGTTTTTCAAAATGCTAGGAATTAAAGCCTTAACGTATATAGTGCATGTTATTACTACCACTCATGAATAGGCAAATTATTTGAAATACTATCAGAATTAAATTTTAAATAGTTCTATTTAATTACCATCTAATAGTTACTGGAAGAGATGCCTCAAAGCCTGACTCAAGGAAATGGCTTCAACAACTAAGTTTAGTGAGACTGAAAACCAAGAAAGACCCTTAGTATGGTACACTGTGCGTGAGAGGGAAATCCCCAAACCTTACAAGTTTAACAGAAGACCCTCTACCGCCCCAAATCATTTGTAACGCAACAGTTCTGGAAGCAAGGGTCGTCTAATTGTCCTGAAGCCGCTTCTAAGTTCATTACCACACCTGTAAAGTGGGAGCGGTGAAATCTGAAAAAGGATTCTCTAAACGAGTACTACCAACATAGATGTTAAGCACTGAACAAAGACGTCCAGAGTCCTGGCGCTACCAACCACTTCACCTAACATTTCCCGCCCACCAGCCTCAATTAAGCCCTAGGTCTCCAAGCTCGGGGGGGTGACAAGACACCAGAAAGCCCCGGATGTAGCGCCCACACCCCCTCCTCCCAACCACGTGGCAACCACGTGCTCCCAGCGGTCGCGGCCTCCTCATGCCCGGCCCGGCCGCACCTCCCCTCCCCGCGTAACCGGCCGAGGCAACGGGACCGAGTCTTGGCCCTACAGCTCCTGACCCTGAGGCCCGATGACAACGCCATGCTCAATCCATCCTCTCGTTCGGAAAGGAGGCTCAGGCCTCACACTCCGAAACCACACAAGCTCCTGCACCACCAACCCGGAGATCAGCATCAGGCACCCGCCGGGAATCAGAAGCCTACCAACTATCACAAAGCCCCCCAAAATAACTGTAGCCGGAGTTCTACCACGGGCCCCAGGTAACGCCAAACTCTCAACCGGTGGCTCCCAAGTTACCCCAGGCCCTAGGCCGCCGACCGCTCATGCCCCAGCCTTCAGGCCGCCCCTCCTTACCATCCTCTCCGTGCTGCCGGCTCGACTCTCCTGGATCCCCATGCCTCAGGCTGCAGGATCCTGGCAGCTCGCTTCCGAATCCCTCAGACCTCCAGCCTGCTTAGTTTTCTCCGCCAACCCAGGCCTCAACGTGATTCCACCGCCCCCCCCCCATCAAAGCCTCCAGGCCCTCCTCGGCCTCGCTCCAACCCCCCCCCCCAGCAGTTACCGAAAAGATAGTTCTGGGGCCTCAAGGGGCTCATGTCCATGTCCATCGAATCCTCCATGGGTTGGCGGCACGCACTTATGTGGGAGAGAAGCCGGACGGAATTAAACGACTACTATTCGAACGAGCAGCCGCGCAGGACGGAATCACACCAGGGAAAGGACGCGGGCTCCCCGCGTACATATATAGCACCCTGGAGATCTCGCGAGAGTTCCTCAAGTCCCGTTTCCGCGCGCGTGCTCCGGTGCACCCGCCCCTCCCGGTCGCTCTCGCGCGCAAGCGCTCTTCAACCTCACTCCTTTCTACCTCGCCCCCCACCTCCTCCAGGTACTCCGCGGGCTCCCACCGAGCACGCGCACTTGTACCCCGGCCCCACCCCTCCGCAGCCGCTGCTGCCTGTGCGCAGGCGTGCTTCCCCGGGTAGCGCACGATCTCCCCCCTTCAAGCCTTCCACGTCTTCTCCCGCTCTGGCGCGCGGGCCTTGCGCCAAAAGTCTGCGCAGCCCACCCAGCAAAATGGCGACGGCAACGTTGAGCTGTGTTAGCTACTGGAGGGCGAGCTGGTTGTGAGTCGGAGAGCTGCTCGTTTCACCTTTCTCCATCCCCTCGTGCCTCGCAAGCCTCCACACAGACATAACCATTGCGGGTTTTTTTTTTTAAATTGCCTGAAGGCCTGGGCTCAGAATTCATTGTTTCCGCAAAGTTAAAGCTTGTGGTTCCACATACGGTGAACTGTGGAATATTATTTGTTGGAGAGAAAAGATGTAGCTGCTGATCACACTTATTCAACTATGTTTTTAATCGCTCTGTCCTTTCTGAAGAAACATCTCCGAAGTTGAAGTCCTTCCTCATTATGTCATTTGGAGGCAAAAAGGGACTAAATCGGCCTGTTCCACATGAGCAGGGCAGGAACCAAGCCAGGGTGATTTCTCCAGACGGAAGGTTTTAAACTGCTATTCCCCAAAGGCTCAGGGTTAAGAATCCGCCTGCAACTCAGGAGACGCCGGTTCGATCCCTGGGTCAGGACGATACCTGAGCGTAGGAAGTGGAAACCCATTCTAGTGTTCCTGTCTGGGAAATCCCAGGGATACAGGAGCCTGGCGAGCTACAGTCCAAAGGGTCGCAAAGGCTCGGACACGTCGGAGCGCGCACTGTAAGGTCCTGTGAGGTATATGTGACCATCCCCACTTCTCCGACAAGGAAACCAGCCAGTGCCCAAATAAGTGAGGTGATTACTGATAGGCTTCTCTAGCTCCAAGTTCAATACTAACATCCATCTAAAACACCTCGCAGGATTATATGAGGGTGCATATATGAGACCCTCATTGTATGAGGGTCTGAGGCAGTGCACTTCTTAGTCTTTAACATTCCTGAGAAGATTCTGACCTGTAAAGAAGGCATAAAACTTGTAAGAAATGCCTATTAATTAGTCTCTTTGGAAGTAAGCCTGGATATGAGCATCTCAAGCTACGCTTTGACAAACTGAGGACCACCGCTCCTGCAACCACAGCCCCTGGGCACTTGCCAAGGATTCCCCTAGTTATTTTTATGTCAACAGATCAAATAATAAAAAAGTGCTGTAAGGAATAAAAGCAGTGGCAGTAATTCCCTACCCTCTTTTTTTCTGAATAAAATCTACTTGAGATAAACTATGATGCACATAAACCAATTACTAACAGAAGCACATTTTTAAATTTGGAGAAATCAGTTCTTACACTCTCTGAACGGACTACGCTGTCGTCCCCCCCTCCCCACGCCCCGCCCTTTTCCCTGCCCCCAGTTGAAGAAAGTCTTCACCAGCCTGGTTCTTGGATCTTTTAAAATGCAGAATGTGAGCAATTGCTAGAGAAAAAACTGAGAAAGGCTGATAAAAGAGAGGACAGGCCTGTGGCTGAGGAGGATTTAGACGTTTAGAATGAGGGCCTCTCACGAGAGGAGTTACAGGATGGTGGAGAAGGGAGTAATGTCCTCTGCTGCTGCTGCTAAGTCACTTCAGTCGTGTCCAACTCTGTGCAACCCCATAGACGGCAGCCCACCAGGCTCCCCCATCCCTGGGATTCTCCAGGCAAGAACACTGGAGTGGGCTGCCATTTCCTTCTCCAATGCATGAAAGTGAAAAGTGAAAGTGAAGTCGCTCAGTCGTGTCCGACTCTTAGCGACCCCATGGGCTGCAGCCTACCAGGCTCCTTTGCCCATGGGATTCTCCAGGCAAGAGTACTGGAGTGGGGTGCCATTGCCTTCTCCGAATGTCCTCTAAGCCTGCGCAAATAAAAGTTGGAGCCACTTTGTAATTTCTTTCTAGATTCTGGACCATAATTATTCAATACAACTTTGCACAAAGATGGTACCATTTGGGAGCCATAGCTCATGTTATATAAATACACTTTCTCTTTCAATATTGCAGGCACTTAGTCTAGATATGATCTCATGGAATCAACTGATTTAAAAAAAAACATTTTGCATTTCTCAGACTTACAAATATAATGAATACTCATTATCTTTTAAATGAATTAGAAGTATTTAAATTTAAGCAAGTGAAAAACTAAAATGCCCCTTCTTCTCATATCCCCGTTCCTATTCCCTAAGGTTAATCAGTGTTAGTAGTTGAGTGACTGTACTTCCAGACTTGGGGAACTTCCCTGGTGGTTCAGATGGTAAAGTGTCTACCCGCAATGCAGGAGACCTGGGTTCAATCCCTGGGTAGGGAAGATCCCCTGGAGAAGGAAATGGCAACCCACTCCAGTACTCTTGCCTGGAGAATCCCGTGGACGGAGGAGCCTGGTAGGCTACAGTCGGATACGACTGAGTGACTTCACTTCACTTCACTTCCAGAGGGGAGGGAAGGACTACGTAGTTGCGGGGGATGGGGAGTTTGAGTATATTTTAACACATATGATCCATATATTGTTCAACTTGGTTTTTTAAATATTTATTTATTTTTGACTGTGCTGGGTCTTTGTAACTGTGCTGACTTTTCTCTAGTTGTGGCGAGTGGGAGACACTCTAGTTGAGGTGCATGATCTTCTCATTGTGGTTGACTTCTCTTGTTGCAAGGAATGGGCTCTTAGGGTGAAAGTGGTTGCAGCCCTTGGGCTTGGTAGTTTTGGTTTCCAGGTTCTAGAACACAGGCTTAATAGTGTGTGTGGGCTTAGTTGCTCCATAGCACATGAGGTCTTTGCAGGTGTATTTTTTACCGCTGAGCCGCCAGGGATTCCTCATATATATTCTTAACATATCTAAAAAGAACATGGGGTGGATACTGGGGAGGCCACTTCAGAGTACATCTTGTCTCAGTGAGTGTGTGCGTACTAAATTGCTTTAATCGTATCTGACTCTTTGCAACCCTATGGATCGTTGCCTGCCAGGCTCCTCTGTCCATGGGATTCTCCAGGTAAGAATACTGGAGTGGGTTGCCATGCCCTCCTCCTGGGGATCTTCCCTACCCAGGAACCTGCATTTCTTAAGATACACTTGCTGTTGGTTGAGTCTATTAATCTACTCTAAACAATAACAATAGCAACCAGTTTTTAAGTACTTTCTATGTGCCAATCACTATATTAAACACTTCCTGTGCATCACCTCATATAATCTCACTAGAGTTCTTTGGGGTTGTAACTATTTTAATCTATGTATTAGTTTGTAAGGAGTGCTTTAACAATACAACACAGACTGGGTGCTTCAACAAGAAAAATTCAGTGTCTCAAGGTTCTGGAGGCTGAGATAAGGGTGTTGGCAGGGCTGGTGCCTTGGTTTTTATAAGCATCATTCTGATCTCTGCCTTCATCTTCACATGGTATTCTCCCTTTGTATTATTTCTTTGTTTCTGTGTCCAAATTTCCCCTTTTAATAAGATTACTGGTTGTACTGGATTAGAGACCCATCCTACTCCAGTATGACCTCATTTTAATTTAATTTACTACATCTGCAACAATTATATTCCCAAACAAGGTCCCATTCTGAAGTATTGTGGGCTAACACTTGGACATGTGAGTTCTGGGAGGACACAATTCAACTCATAACTCTTCTCATTTTGCAGATGTGAAAACAGGGTTAAATAGGTTAAGTAACTTTTCCCAAACCCAAAGCTAATGAAAGGGAGAGAGAAACCTCTGCTTGCCTCCTATGTCTGTGTGTTTACCTCTCCACTGTTGGACAAATAATCATCGCCCAAGAGACTATGCTTTCTATGTAGGAAGTGGGACTGTTTAACTCAGCACATATTTCTTTCTTACACTCACCTGTTAGACATGAAGACAAATGATTTCTTATAAATTCATAGAGTAGGGATACCTACAATTGATTTATTGGCATTCACTGCCTCTCTCCCACTTTCCTCCTATGGTCCTAGTCCACCTGCCCAAAGATTTTGAGAAATTGTCTTTGCACTAAGAAATTTACTTCTTACTGTGTCACTCTGGCATTATCTGAAAACTTAATGAAGATTTGAATTGCTTTCATTCATATATTTTGTTGATCTCGATTTCATCAAAAAAGACACCATGCAAAAGCTGCAATATAAAATTGGAGACTGATCTAGGAATGAGCCTAAACTGCCATCTCTCCCTCTTTCTATTATCAGATATTTTAAATCCATCCTCTCATTATGTCCTTACTTGAAACATCCACCTTTAGAGAGGAAAGAGGGGCAGAGTTTAATGAGAGATAATATAAGAACCATTCCAGGTAGGGGTGATGATAGCACCAAAATGTGCTATGGGTTTCAAGATGTGCTCAAACAGTCCTGAATGGAGTAATTTTGCTGCAGCTGAGGCTCACATGCATTAGAAGAAGGGACTTTTCTTTCATTGACTGCCACTATTAAACGTTACCATGTTCCATTGTGTTTACATGTGAGTTCCTTGTATGTAGGGAATTAATTTTAATTTTGTGTGCACCCCCAATCTAATGTCTAAAATGAAGGAAGAGAAGGAAGGGCTAGGAAATATTAATGCCGCTACACTAAGGTTGCCCTAAAGCAGCTCATGATATTTGAGTCCTCTATCTGTTTTCTAAGTATGATTATTTTTTCCTGTTTTTTTTTCCATTTTCCTGGCATATTATA